GAGCAGGCAGCCGTGCGCTTGCGCCATCGCTCGCAGGTGATGCAGAGCTGTGATATGGCCTAGTCCCATCGCTGAAGGTCGTTTGTTTTGAAACTGAAATTAGTCATCCGAAAGTAGGCAAATACAGTCCCCTCGGGAATGGGAAGCTCAGTCCTCGCCCTGGAACACAGAGGCAGCAGCTCTGTTGAGTAATTTAGTGTTAGTTAAGCAGAGGGAAAATTAATGGCTTCCCAGAGCCTTCTCTGTAGCAGCTGCAGAAGCAGATTTTCATGTTCATTGTGAGGGAACTGGAGGGGATGGCGGCTGCTGGGAGAGCTGGAGTGGGTCTTACTGGGGATGGAGCTGATTGGGAAAGAGCCAGGCAGACAACGTGTTTGTCGGCAGATGGGGAGGTGAGTTGAAAGCCAGGTCAGAGAGGTGGAGTTGTGCTGAGGAAAGTGCTCTCTAATACCATTTGAGAAAAAAAGAATCTTTATCCTGCTTTGCCCTGCACAAAAATGTTCTGCTGGGTTAATTTGAAAAGGTGAGTAGGTGGGAGGAGGAACAACGTTTTATTTCCCTTGTAAAATGCGTGTCTCAACTGAATGCCCTGCTCTGGGACAGGTTTTATGAATTTGCAGTTGCAGCAGGAGAGATTTCAGGGCTTGTGCAGCGTGGTACTGATGCGCCTGGAATCCCAAGTAGCTTTTGAGAGGGAGAGATAGTCAGTTTTTTAGACCTGTAAGCTCAGTTTTCTTCCTCCTGGCCTGAAAAGTATTTTGCATAAACTCAGGAGAGTGAATGTTGGTTTCCTGTGGCGTTTTGGGGTTGTGAGGGGTGGTTTTTTGCCTTTTTTTTTTTTCCCCTCAAGTTGACCTAGTTGTCTCTATGGCCCAGCCAGAGGCTCCATAGCACCAGAGTCCAGGCTTACGCTGCAAAACCCTGTAGGTGTATATTGAGGTTGCTGGCAAAGCCTTGTGACTTTTCTGAGTCATTTCCCAGCTGGAGGTGGCTGCAGCGGAGAGGGGAGCGTGCTCCTTCTCACAAGGCCGAGTCAAACCCACAGCCTGGCAGTTTTGGTGGTGTAGCCCTGTTCACACCTGACCTTACAACAGGAGCACCTAATTGATGCCTCTGCTTCTCGTTACCGCTTGAAGCAATTAACTGTGATTAACTGAGCAGTTTCTAGTCGTGAGGAATGATAAATTCGGCTTCCTCACACGCTAGAACAAGTTTGGCTCTGTCCCTAGTACAGGCCTCAAAAAGTTTTGTGTACTTCGCAGGCGATTCATGATCCTTGCCTAATTTAGAAAGCTCCTGGTGTTCTTGGATAAGCTTGGCCTCCGACTCGCTGCCTTCTCATGGTGCAGATTTTCCTTCAAACCTTAACTCCCAAGCACCTGATGCTGTGCCCATGGCTCGGGCTGCGGCCTGGTGCCTGCGGGGAGCGGGGTGGGTGTCTGCAGGGTGGATGGGTGCCACAAGAGGCTGCAAAATCCAGGGTGAGCCGCCGGGATGAGCACACCAGACGCTTCCGACTGTGCTGTGAAGGCTGTCTAGCCCCAGGTGACGGTGACACAGTGAAAATGAGATGATTTTACATGTATAGATGTCTGGGAAGTGTTCTGAGCTCTGCTGGCACCGTGCTTGGGAAAGGCTGGCGTTTGCATGGGGAGGGGGTAGAAATCTCGCCTACTTTTGGAAAAACCCTGTCCGTTATGGCTCAGCTGTGCAGGGGGCAGTACTGGAGGCTGTATGGCTCACCACACCTCTGGAGGGTTGAAAACTCTTGTTTTTCTTCCATGTCAATCCAGTTTTCCCAGCAGCGCTGCTGGGGTTGCTGCCTTCCCCCTCTGCCCAAACCCTCACTGCCAATTCCCAGAGCTTTTCCTACAGAAATACAGCTGAATAGGGTGGGAATAAGTGACTGCTGAATTCCTGCCCTGATGTTTGTGCCAAGGTACCGGCCAATGCCCCTTACCTGCCTTTCTCCTGCCTCCATCTCCTCCAGGCGTGCTCTGTGTCCCTGCAGTCCCTGCCCAAGACCTCCCAGCCCAAGGGCTGATTTCTGCTTGGATTCTCCTCCTCTCCTCCTTGCGCTAAACCAGTCCCCTCCATCCCACCCCAGGTCCCCTGGCTGTTTTGTCATAGTCTCTTGGGCTGTACCTGGCTGTGCTGCTCCTTCTTGTGCCATGTTAATTTGGGGAGGGGAGGAGAAGGGGAGTTAAAATAAAGGGGTTTGGAAACTTGAAGGGTGAATTTTTATTCTCTTTATGTATTTTTGTCTGTCGGCTTTGGTTTCTCCCCAGTTGTGCTGAATTTGGTGAGCGCTGCTTTGCCTGCTCTGCGAAGGGATGGGCATAGGTCAATCACTGAAGTTTGGGTCTGCTGTCGATGAAGAGATGTGATTTATGTTGACTTTTCCCTCAGATGGATGGACATCATTGCCTTTTTGTGAAAGAAAATGTAATGCATGTAGTACAAAACTCCAAGGAAATTTCAGGCCAGTTTTTAGCTCCGCTCCCAAATTGATGTTCGTTCAACGTTGCCATGACTGCGGCAGGGTGACTCATCCCGTTATGGTTCGCAATTTGCTTGTCTTACAAAGTCACTGGGGAAATAATATTTCCATATCTATACCTACCAAGGCTGTAGGGTTTGCTCTAGCAAACAAGACAAATAATATTCCCTGGTAATAGGAGCAGCCAACTGGAAAATGAGACCAATAGGTTCTATTCTTAGTTCTGTCATTAACCTTGGATGTTTTCTTTAGCTTAGCTGGAGCTCTCCTTAGCTGCCTGTAAAGCAGAAAAAGTTATAAATACAGGAGATGGTTTTAGTAAGTAATTAAAATTCTGACGTTTAAAGCGAAAATGTTCATAACACCTTCCAAAACTGCTTCAGGAAAGTCCTAGTGTGCAGATACAGGTTGTGAGGTGAAGGCATGTGAGCTGGGTGCAGCAAACGTTCTCGAGAAGTAGGTTAACTCCCTTAGGAAGGACAATCGGTCTTAAACTTTTAGTAAGAATTCGCTCTTTCCGTCCCTGTGCCCCATAGTGTGGGTAATTTTCAGTTGCTACCCCAAGTGCCATTAATTGGATCCCAGAGCTGCAGGTCTCGGGGTTATTACAGTGGCAAGGCTGGGTGATCATCAGTTCCTGTTGTCCTTTGGACAAATGGAAACTTTTTGGATCCTGGTTGGGATTTTGGGATAAGGAAGGAGGCCGAGATCTTGTCTGCTGTTGGAGTTACTCTGGTTTTGCTGTCACTTGTTAATAGCAGCAGTTGTGCGGCATCAGTGCTCTCTGCTGGGCGCGTATGGACCCTGGTGTCCACTGTTGGTGCATGTAAGAAGTGTTAAAGGAGTTGGTCTTGGAGCACTGAGGAGGTGGTTGATACGGCATCTTTAAGACCTTGCACTTCTGGCTGTGCAGCAGAAATTGCCAAATAACTTGGTTTAGCTCTTACTCCTTGCTCCACGGTGTGGGAAGCTGCCTGATTGCTCTTCTCCCTCCTTTTTCCAGATGCTTAAAAAATATTGGTGCTTATTAAAGCTGTGGAGTTTCATAACCTAGGGCAGTTTTGAATTTATTCTTTTAAGCAGGCTGTGTAAGTGATTCTGATGGGTGTGCTGTCCTGTCTTGAAGCTTACATGGTCTTTTATTTGAAAGATGTGTTCTGAAGTGTCTGTTCTTATGGGAACAGTGTGCTTGTTTTGTCCAAAATCCAAGGTAGCCGTTTGCTGCTGCTTGTTAAGAGTTGTGATACCTTTTGTTGTTGTGGGTTTTGGTTTGTCATGTCCTCCTGAAGATTAAAGTTATTTCGACCTTGAATTATTTGTCTGCGAGAGAGCATCTAATGATTGCTCAATTAATTCTTAATGTGTTTAAATATCTCTTTTCCATATTTGGTGAAACATTTGTGCATAGCTTTGCAAAATAAGTGTTACATTTTCCAAGTCTACTGCTCCTTGGTATTGCAATTGGGAGTCTTCTGCTGCACCACTTGTTGGGAGTTACTGGTTGTTCATGTTGGAGATAAGCTCCTCAGTTCTCAGATGTGCTTGGCTGTTTGAATGTCAGTTTATATTGATGTAAATCCTGTTGGAAAAATGCTGGTAAAAAAAAATCTGCCCCTTCAAAGGTACCACACAAGCGTGATTTGAGGGGAAGAGCAATTTCTTAGTTTGTCCTGATTCTGTAGGTGTTGAGAGTGTGTATTTATCTCTCTTATTGAAGGTGTCTCAAATTAATTACTGCAAACTCTGACTAATTCCCAGGGCTCAGGTGGAAGCAAGATTGCGTGGGGGTGGGTTTGAGTGCAGACTTGAACCTTTTTGGGCCTCTTAATACCTACAGCAGGCGGAGGTGAGCAACAGCCATGGAGCAGGGAGAGTGACTCAGAGGAGCAAGCACATTGCAGAGAGGATTTGATGTCCAATGCCAGGACAAGGGGCAATGGTCCCAAGCTGAAGCACAGGAGGCTCAAGCTGAAGAGGAGGACAAACTTTGTCAGTGTGAGGGTTATGGAGCATGGCCCAGGCTGCCCAGAGAGGTTGTGGAGTCTCCTTGTGTGGAGACACCCAAAGCCCTGGCTGTGTTCCTGTGTGACTGCTCTGGTGATCCTGCTCTGGCAGGGGTTGCACTGGGGGAGCTTTCCAGGTCCCTTCCAACTCCTCATATTCTGTGATTCTGTGAAAGAGAACTCAAAATACACTGTGACAGGTTTCCCAAAATAATTGGATTTTTTTCTTCTCTTGCTCCCAGAGGCAGTTAAATACTGCCTGGTTTTGATTTGTTTCCTTGTTTTTTCCAGATTAGAGTAAAATAAGGTAAAAGAAATCAAGACAAATGATCAGCCACCTTACATTTCAGCCAGGAAAGGAGTTACGGTTATAAAACCTCGTGTTTGTGTGGTTCAACTTGAGATAATATCTTACAAAAGTTTGAAGACATCCATTTAGATGTGCTCTTTTGGTACATTCTGCCTGAATTTTTTTTGTCTCTCTCTCCCATTCCTAGGTTGTGACTAGACTTATTCACTTGCTGGGCGAGAAGATCCTTGGCAGCCTTCAGCAGGGAGGTAAGGCTCGTTCTGGACGGCTCCCATTGATGCTGGTGCTTCCCTGGAGCTAGATTTACACTGGTAAATCTGGAAATGGGAAGTGCACACTTGACGAGAGAATTCATAGCTAGAGATTTCAGCTGTTGTCACAAGTGAATGGTGGTTTTAATATATAGATATGTAGGGGTTTTTACATTATTTTTTTTGGCGGAGCATGGCTAATTAAGTGTGGGAACGGGATGATTTGCAATTGAGATAGGAAAGTACCGCTGCGTATGTGCAGTGAAGTTTCTTGCAAGAGAAGAGCTCAAAGTGATCATTGGAAATAGCAGCTCTAAAGATGTGAATCAGAGCCGTGGCATCTGCGTGTGGAGTGACTTAATACGTCTGGATTCGCATTATCCTAATGAATTGTGTGAGAGGGAATGGTCTGCTGCGGATTGGTTCTTAAGCTTTCGGTATGGGCAGAGGCAAACCAAAGTGTTTACTGACTGCATTGAAGTGAGTGGGAGGAAATACTTCAAATTTTCTTGAGCAGCTTTTAAAAGAAAACAAATGCACGCCAGCCGCCGAGGGTGTCGTGTGGTTCTGTGCTGCTGTGGGCTGTTTGGTTTCTGTTTGGTTGAGGGTTTTTTTATAAAATTAAGCCTATTGCTGTTTTTACAATATTCCAAGGAGGCTGAAAATGAAGTCGCCAGCTCTCGTGTTTTGGAGCAGTTCTAGGGAGTGAATCTCAAAGTCTGCGCTCTCTTCACATGCTCAGCTTTCTGTGCACAATCAGTCCTGTACAAATCATCAGTGATGATTGTGCTTAACCTGTTGTGCCTCCTGAAACGCCCTCATGGCTTTGGGCAGAGTCCACACTGCGTGGGGAATAGGGCAAGGTGCGATCTGGTGAAACGGGGAGGAAAATAATTAGTGGCAGTCACAGGAGTTCAGTCAGAATCACCATTGAGCTTCTGAGGGAAGGAGATGAAGGAGTTGAGCAGCGATGTGTAACTTGTTTGAACCTACACGTGTCTTCTTGAAGGTCGCCAAAAAGAGTGGAAAAGCTGTTTCATGTTCTGTGCAGAGCTGTTTGAGAAGACTTGAAATGAATAGCTCAATGGCTGAATATATTTGAAGAAAGTTTATCTGGTATTTCTTGGTGTCCTGCGGTGCGCTGTCAGTCTTGCATAGAGACTTTGAGTGAGTTTTATATGGTGTATCAAGAACTTCTGTGTGTCTGTCTTGAGAAGTCATATTAATGGTGTGTCACAGGCCTTTGCTGGGCAAAATGAGATAAGCAGGATGTCAAATCCGAACTGAGATGAAAATAAGTTGTGCACTTGGAGCTGAGTTGATAGGCAGTAGCAGCCAAGTAAGGTTATTTGAGAAGGCTTAGTGAAAGAGAAAAGAAATAGTATCAAAATAAATAAACAAACCAGTTTGTCACACACTCCTATCATTGATCTTTGCCTGTTCTAAGCCATCCAGAAAGATCTTCATCTTTGTCACAGGCATTGCGTGCTGCTGTCACAAAATGCTTTCCTCTGCCCATGCTTTGCCCTTACTCAGCTTATGTGTGTTGGAGATAACTTCCCCAGTGACTCTGCAGCTACTGCAGAGGCTCCATATTTCACTTGCTTACTCCTAAGCACACATCTGCAGAGCTCCACATTTTGCCGTCTTTGAGAGAAGTGAACATAGATGGAGACACACATTGCCTGTAGTAGCTTTGTTTGTCGAAAACAGGTATTTACTGCCTTCACCAGGAATACCATAAAAAGTGAATGTTAATTTTTGGGGTATTTTGATACTGACAACAGGTTTTGGGGTTTGGTTATTTAAGCTAATTCTTCTTGTGGGCTGAACTAATGCCTGTATTAAAGTAATTCAAAGTGTTTCAAAATGCCTCTTTATCCTTTTCTTAACAGGTAAAGTAAATGCACATTGCATTTAACCTTTTCCTGACATCCAGTTATTTTTAATGTTGCCCAAGTTCTACCTACGCCTGCCATGTCAGCAGCCAAAAATGATGGAAATTGATCTCCATCCTCTTACGAATGAAATACGTGAACTCTTTCCTTTTATGTGGTACAGAAGATGTTACATTTATGTTAGGTTAAGCAATTCAGCGATACTTTCCTTGCTGCCTGAGAATTGAAAACAGCGAAACGACACCGAGCTTTCTGGGTCGGCTTATGACAAGTTTTTTCTTTTCCAACAGGTCATCCTCTTGGGTTGCACAGCTCGAGCAGCAAGTGGGATGCTGGAAACCCTGCCAGCAATCTCTCCACAGTAGCAATTATGCCGGTGTCGGAAGAGGTGCCGCTGACGGCTTTTACTCTGGAGCTCAAGCACGCTCTCAGCGCTGTGGGTAAGAAGTGTTCACGTGACACTGCATCAGGGGAAAGAAATGCTGCTTATCTTATTCTCATTCATGGGGATCAATTTGGAAAGGGCAAGTGTCAGGAGGAAGGAGCCAGGCTCTGCTCTGGGATGACCAATGCCAGGACAAGGGGCAATGGTCCCAAGCTGGAGCACAGGAGGTTCAAGCTGAAGATGAGGCCAAAGTTTGTCAGTGTGAGGGTTATGGAGCATGGCCCAGGCTGCCCAGAGAGGTTGTGGAGTCTCCTTGTGTGGAGACACCCAAAGCCCTGGCCGTGTTCCTGTGTGACTGCTCTGGTGATCCTGCTCTGGCAGGGGTTGCACTGGGGGAGCTTTTGAGGGCCCTGACAACTCCTGACATGCTGGGATTCTGTGATCTTTTTAGAGAGGTATGGCCAGGTATCTGTCATTAATCAGAGATGGATTCATGCTGCATTGAGGGGCAGCAGTACAGCAGTGCTCAGGATCAGCCTTTTCCATCATCTCTTGCTTCTCTGTCTCCATCCCTGATGTGCTTTTAATTTTAGGGAAAATGTTTGTGGCCTCAATGCCATGGAACTCACAGCAGATCTGTCTGACCTCTCGCCTCAGCTGCCATCGGCACCCTGCTAAGCAAATCCCACGCCCTTCCCATGGCACTGGAGACTCCAGTTCTCTCTCTTTGAAGTGTGAGAGTCTTTCAGGCTTCCTCAGTTGCACGGCTTTGCCCACAAAGGGTTTCTTACGGAGTTGTGTTTTGTTGAGGTAGGGCAGTGAGTGGTAAGCATCAGACTTGATGGAAGAGGCTCATGGAGGAGATCCAGGTTGGCACTGGGAGTCCAAACTGAAGTCTTAAATCATTGTCCCGTTTGTTGCCAGCTCGTTTGTTTGTCTCATGCTCACAGACCCATGTATTCAGCTGACAGCTGAGTCATTAATTGCTCTCTCCATTGGTGGAGTTGTGTGTGCAAGTTCCAGTTGCTCACAAACCCATGGATTCGATTCACAATTTGGCTCCCGCTTGGTGCTGCAGTGTGACATTTCCTGAGCATCCTCTTCTCATCCTCACACGCTGTCACAGATCTCTTGAGTAAATCTCCTGTAGTTGTTTGATGAATTGTTAGTCTGCTGTCTCACAGCTTATTATTTTGAGAAGTACAGAATGTGTGATGCTTCAGGTGTAACCACTTACCTGTATTGGTTATTTCCTTTTTGACCTTAAGCCGATACTCATTATTCTGCTTAAAAAAGTTTCCTAGGTGAGCAGGCACAGGATAAAGCTGTTAACGCTTGACCTCTGTCACCTTTTGAAATACGAATTTGTACGCAGCTTATGGCAGAGATGTCTTACAGTGAGTACTAATTTGTGGGTGTTTGAACATTTCCTCTTATTTTGAGATGGCAGAAGACTTTTACATCCCTAACGCAGCACAGCTCTCAGCGTAGCTATATTGCTAATGGGTGCTTCTTATGGCTTGCTGCCAGCGTGTTTTGATGTGTGACAGCGCCAGGAGCCTGTAAATAAAACAAACAGAAACTTAAGTACGTAGATGGGCTATTCAGAATAAAAATAACCATTCTGGTTGAAAGCAACTAGATGGTAACAAGCAAGGGGTTGTGTTTTGATAGCTTGGCCTTTCCTCGTTCGCTCTTCTTATTTCTATTCTTTCCCCAAGCTGACGCCTGTGTGGTGCTTGGCAGCTACAGCTGGTGCTGCACAACCTTGGCATCTCAAGTTCTTGCCGAAACGGAGCAGACGGCTGCAGCGGGAAGAGGGGAGCGTTGTGTGAAAACACAGCTCACTGTGTGGTCCTGAGCAGGGCTGGGAGAGCCTCTGCTCCTGGGCCAGCCCATGGCTTATCCAGCCCCACGGTGCCCATGAGCCAGCAATGTGCCCTTGAGCCAAGAAGGCCAACGCCATCCTGGGCTGGATGAGAAGGGGTGGTTGTAGGGCAGAGAGGTTCTCCTGCCCCTCTGCTCTGCCCTGCTCACACCACAGCTGCAATCTTGTGTCCAGTGCTGGGCCCTCAGCTCAAGAAGGACAGGAACTGCTTGAAAGAGTCCAGCAGGGCCACAAAGATGCTGCAGGGAGTGGAGCATCTCCTGCTGAGGAGCGGCTGAGGGAGCTGGGGCTCTTCAGCTTGGAGCAGAGGAGACTGAGGGGTGCCCTCATTGCTGGGGATCCATTGGGAAAGGGCAGTGTCAGGAGGAAGGAGCCAGGCTCTGCTCTGGGATGGCCAATGCCAGGACAAGGGGCAATGGTCCCAAGCTGGAGCACAGGAGGTTCAAGCTGAAGATGAGGACAAAGTTTGTCAGTGTGAGGGTGGCAGAGCATGGCCCAGGCTGCCCAGAGAGGTTGTGGAGTCTCCTTGTGTGGAGACACCCAAAGCCCTGGCCATGTTCCTGTGTGACTGCTCTGGTGATCCTGCTCTGGCAGGGGTTGCACTGGGGGAGCTTTCCAGGTCCCTTCCAACTCCTGATATTCTGTGATTTCTGTGCTCCGAGACAGCAGTTAACTGGTTAACCCTAAACCACGACACCTTCTGCAGAGCATCTTTACGTGCTGTACAGTGCTGAGGGGTTTGTCATGCAGGCTTTGTTTTAATATTATTATTATTATTTTAATCAGAAGCAGCTTTATCTCCTTTTTTCATATTTACTTCTCTTTGTAGCTTTTATATTTTCCCCTTTACCCTCCAGCTGTAAATTGTTTGGGTGTTCCTTATTGGTGCGTGACAAAGCGCTGCGAGCGACGTGCCAGATGGTGCTTTGCTATAAGGAAAGATTTCGATTTATTTGTCTTTTTGCATCAAAAAAAATGGAACGAGTAGTAAAGCTGGTGTTGTGAAGCAAAATTTGGGCTTGCTCGGTATTCACCTGAGTGACTGGGACTGTGTCCACTTTGCATGAGGGGAAATTCAAACACTGTGTGAAAAGGTTGGTGCCAGGGCCTTGGGTAGCGGCTGGTGTGCTGGGGGTGCTGGCG